TATATATATATATATATATATATATATGAGGTTGTAATATTCATGATAAAAAATGCTGTAATGCACTATTATATCTTTCATAGAAGGCATTTCACGTTTTCTGATTTGGGATTTGTCCTTCTTTGTCCATAAATACCAAGTCCCCAAGTGGAGGGAGTGTGAAACTTCGCTATCCTTACTTATGTATGAGTAGGTATGTAATCTCTAAGGATGCCAGTAAGCTCCTAGTTCCTCACTCCTTTTACAGTAGGTCGTCATACAGTGGTCTGGGTCAGTTGGGTAAACAGATTGCGGGGAAAGTGAAAGTTAGCTACCTGTCTTCTATTTTTATTATTATTATTATTATTATTATGGTGATGAGAGTTATCTTGGTGGTGGATTGGCTGTAAAGGCATCTGGTGTTTCAAACATCTCCCTGAGACAGTTTGCAGCTAGCCTGAGGTTTTCACTGTGGTCTCTTCTATCGCTGCTGATGTAGGTTGGGGAACGTAGATGACGAATATGTGTACAGTCTAAAATATAGTGGAGCAGTGGTTCATTTGTGACAGTGTCACAGTGCTGGCATGCTTTAGGTGTTCTGAGATCTATCTCCCAATTGCAGCGGTAACCCATCCGCAGTCTGTGGAATATGGCTGCAGATTGGCGGCTAGTCGCAGTGGCAAAGGGTGGGTTGTAGTCAGTGACCAGCTTGTACCACAGGGCAGAGGGAGAGCCAGCGTGTACCCAAGCCCGATGTTCAATGTGTAGAACTTCAAATGTGGTCTTACGTAAGGTTCTTTTTAGCTGACTTAGGCTTGTAGAGACGTGAGTGGTGTGATCTTGGCTGAGGCTCTGTTTGGCGGCAAGATCTGCCTGGTCATTTCCAAGAATGTTGACGTGACTTGGAATCCAGCGGAAGGTGATGGATTTGCCTTGATTTTCAAGTTGAGTTAATTTAAAGAGGATGGTGGTGAGTAAATGTACATTGTCAAGATGGTGAGTTTTCTGTAGGGCATATACTGCTGAGAGGGAGTCTGTTAGTATGTGGATAATTGTGTGCTCGGTGGTGAGAGCATACGTGAGGGCTAGTTTAATGGCATATAGTTCTGCCTGAAGTATGGAGGCGCCGTTGGAAAGTCGGTGAGCTATGGATGTGGTGTCCGTTACCATTGCTGCACCAGCCTTGCCTGAGGATTGGTCAATAGATCCGTCCGTGAAGATGAGGTTTTGTGGCTGATGTAGAGAGTCTATGAGATGCCTTACATTATTCAAAATCTCTTTTGTGCAGAGTGCTTTAGAGGTTGGAAGAGTGTCTGTGTGAAATTTAATTGTTTGTGGAGCCCAGGGTGGTTTAGGAACATAGTGAGAATTAGGAGCATCCATTCCTCTAGAGATGATCATTGGTATGGCATTCAGTGATTGTAGTGTTTTAATTAGGGATGCATGCCAAACAAAGGTTGTGCCATCTAACTCATTTGGGTATAGCAGGTTGGCAGTGATATGTTTTAAAGGTGATGGTCTGGACCGGGATAGTATTTTAGCCACAAGCCCAGCAGTTAATTGGTGTATTCTGCACTTGAGAGAGGGTAAGAACGATTCCATTCGGAGATTTGCGAGCCTGGTCCAACGAGGTGCTGCTAGGATGTCTCTCATGGCTCGATTTTGGATGGTTTCCAGAGTCACAAAATCTTGGGGGGATAGGGTTAGAAGGGCTGGCGCACTGTAGTCAATGAGGGATCTGACGGCGTGTGTGTAGAAGAGCCGGAGTGTTCTAAAAACCTGCCCCAAGTTTGGAGGAAGTTAACCTGCGCATGACATTGAGGAGAGGCTTAGTACGGAGTAGAAGACGTCTGAGCTGTGCAGTTGAGGAGAGGTTCTCGTTGAAAAAGATGGCTAGACACTTGTGAGAGTTCACCCAATCCAGAGGAAGGTTACCTATGTAAAGATTTTGCAGGTTAATGTGACGACGGAGTTGGAGGGCTTTGGTTTTGTTACTGTTGATTTTGAGTCCGAGTTCTTTACAGGTCGACTCGAGGAGATTGAGAGCGAGTTGAGCATTGACATACCTGTTCCTTCCTGTGACAACTAATTGTAAATCATCAGCGTAGGCTAGAAGATGCGTATTGTTTGGGAAGGGGATTTCTACTAGTTTAACAATTAGGAGGTTGAAAAGAAAAGGCCCAGGAGGCCGCCTTGAGGTGTACCATTTTCAAAGGGGTAGAAGTCAGAAGTGTGTCCCTGGAATCTTACTCGAGCTTTCCTGTTTGAGAGGTAGTCCTTGACCCATTTGAGAACTTGCCCTTTACGCCTTTCTCAGCAAGTGCGTGTAGTATGGCATCATGGTTGGCAAGCTCGAAGGCTTTTTCTAGATCGAGGAATACAATCACACTGTCGTTGCCGTCAGTTAAGGACAGGAGGGTAGCGATGTTTGCTGTGCCTGTTCCTTTTTCATAGGCAAAAATATGTGGATGGAGGGATGGAATGATGTGTTGTAAGCGATGGAGCACAGCACGTTCCATGGTTTTACCTATGCAGGAAAGTAGCGAGATAGGTCGGAAGGCATTAGTACTGTCACGTTTGGGTATTGGTATTAAGTTGGCAGATTTCCAGGCTTGGGGCAAGGTTCCTTGGTGATATGAGGCATTAAATAGTCTGAGCAGAGTGCCCATACTTGAGGGCCCTAAGTGGTGGAGCATAGAATAGGGTATTTTATCAATACCTGGGGTTGTGTCTTTAGAAGTCTTTGTAGCTTTCTCGAGTTCAGTTAATGTGAAAGGTGTGTCACTTTGGGCAGGTGAGTCTATAGCTATTTGAATGACTTGTTGTCGGATGGGCTTCAGCTGTTGTAGCTTCCTTGAAACGGATGCAGGCAGTTGGGTGGATGAACAGCGCGTGGCAAAGGAGAGTGCAAGTCTGTTGGCTTCCGAGTGAGGATGAGGATGTGGTGCGGGCATTGAGCGTTTTGCTCCTGATGCCAGTCGTAGATTGGTCCACATCTCTTTCAAGGATGTGTGAGCAGTTATCGTTTCACACCAAGATAACCAGGCTTTGGCTTTTATTTCTGAGATTTCCATTTTGACAAGACGTCGTAAGGTGCGAAAAGATTCTAAGATGGTTGGAGAATGGGATCGGTGGAGAGCTTTGCGGAACATGTTCATTCTATGCTTGAGTTCACGTATCCGGTCGTTGTAGAACCAGCTGTTCTTGTGCGCATGAAGAGTGACATTGGTGAGGGGAATGCTGCTCTTAGTAGCATTGTGAATGGCATTAGTGAAATCTTTCTCTAGCTGGGTGGCATCTGACGGTGGAATGTAGTTGGAGGCCCATTTCTCCATAGCGTCTGTGAAGAGGGGCCAGTTCGCTTTTTTGAGATTCCATCTTGGTTTGGGTGGGGGGAGAGTAACCCGCGGAATCCGAACGGTAGTGATAGTGGCAAGGTGGTCAGAAGTTAAATAGGGGTGTAGTTTCCAGTCTGCTATAGGGAGGAGAGAGGTGGAGAGAATGGTGAGGTCTAGTACTCCTCCACGGACATGAGTTGCAATACCGTTGTTGAGGACAGTAACTTCTGAGAAACTGTCCAGCAGTTCATTGATATATAGACCGGTGTCATTCATTTTGTGTGCAGAAGGGGTAGATTGGTCGTCCAAGAGGGGTGATGGGCATTAAGATCACCACAGATGAGAGGTGGTTCATTGGCTGTTATGCCAAATCATTCTTCAAGCTCTAGAGAACAATCTGCTCGAGGAGGCCGATAAACATTGAAAATGTGGAGGTGTGTTCTGTAGGGTTAGTTTGACGCCTATGCTTTCAATGTTTTCTCCACAATCTGGCGGTGGAGTAATCTCTTCACAGGGTATGGAAGACTTTATAAAAATGGAGATTCCCCGTGACTGATTGGGGATGAAAGGGCTGTGAAACGCTGAGTAGCGGTTAATGGAGAAATTGTTGGAGGCTGGAAGGAGAGTTTCCTGGAGAACGATGACATCAAAGTTGTCTTCAGTGATTGCTAATGAGAGTGTGGGGTAGTTGCACTGAAGGCCAAGAATGTTCCATTGTAGAATACTGATGGAGTCCGAAACGGAATGCATAACATTACTCATGATGTGATGATGTAAGGGTAAAATTAGTGGTTTAATTGAGCTCTTGCGTGGTCCTGAGTTCATGAGGTTGGTCTGGAATGTGTAAGATTGGTGGAGAGCTGGCGGAAGAGTGGAGTTGTGCCGATTGTTGTGCAGGCGTTGGATTACAGAGGCTTGTCTGATTAATCCTGTGAGAAGATGTAGGAAGAGGTGGAAAGTCTTCTGATGATGCAACGACCGAGGTAATTGTACCAGTATCCTGCTGTACAGGTTCAGAAGGCATGGATTCTTGGGATGAGGAGGATGTGTTCTTGTGTGGTAAGATGGCAAGGATGTTGTCAATGAGAGTTTGTAAGTGGGAGTGAGGAATAGAGTGACCAGGGCTAAAAGGCCAAGTTGAATGGTATTCACTAGGAATGATCCAATCAGTTCAGGAGGAGCTAAGGAAATTGGTGCTTTGTGACTCATGAAGGGCTGTGAGACTGGGGAGGTGGCAACTGGTGCAGGAGCAGGAGTAGATAAGGTATGCAGGTTAGCAGCAATAGAAGCTTTGATTGGTTCGTGGCTGAGAGCAGAAGTGTTGAGGTGTTGTGGTTCTCTTGGTTTGCTCCAATCATGGATCTTTCTCGTGAAGGTTCGAGGCTGAGGGGCTGCCCTTTTTCCAGAAGAATCAGGCTTTGATAGCAGAGAGCGTCTCATCTCACAGCAGAGGTTCCATGCGTGGTGTTTGCCTCCACAGTTTGGGCATTTTGGTTCGGTCTGCTCGCCGTTTTTGAATTTGGTGAGGCAATTGTCTGTTGGGTGACTTTTTGAGCAGATTGCACAGCGTGCAGCAACTTTACTTTGGTTGCGGTGATGTCCATAGCGCTGCAAGTTGTAGCACCGGAGTGGTTCTGGGATGTATTTGCGAGTTCTAAAGGTCCCAAATATGCCCAGATTGATTTCATCAGGGGGTTCTCTTGACATGACCAGGAGAACTTGGCGCGTCTCCTCCTTGATTGGGCGGTATATACAGAGATGAAGGCGTTGAAGTGGAAAGCCTATGGGGATTTTTTCTAAAATTGCTCTGAATTTTCTGGGTTCAGGAACATAAGAGGTAATATTGACAATCTTGCCTGAAGCTAGGGTGGTAAGTGAGTCCAACAACGTGCGTGTAGAATCAGTCTTCGGAGTGAGAATGAAGTGGCCATCATTGGTAATTGCTGTGGTGACATCTATAAAAGGGAACTCTTCTTCAATAGCAAACATGGCTTCTACAGCTGTGGCAAAGTCTTTGGATAAGGCAATGAGAAATTTATGGCTCATTTTGGTGAGTGGATAAGGTGAACTAGAGCCTCCCCTATTGGCTGAGGTATTCTGCTCTTGGGCTTGGAGTGTGGATCGGCTGAAGGGGATCTTTGCCATCTTGATCGGTGCAGGATAGCTCCATGCTGTCATTCGATGATACTCTAGGATCAGCAGCTGAAGAGAGTAATTCATCTGAAGGCGGAGGATTCAGCTTCATCTTCTTTGATGCTGAGGTGTTGGGATTCTCTGTGGTCTGTACTGGATCAGGGTCTGGGGCATTTTCCTCTGGGGGGAAGTAATTCTTTTCCTTTCTTTGAGGTGGAAGCTGTAGGATCTGGAGTCCTGGGCTGAAATTCCATTTTCTGTTTTTTCTTTTTATGATTTGACTTAGACATCAGTGACTTAAATGAGGGGTTGTGAGGCCACCACCTACCTAAAACTTTTGGGTTTATAACCTACTGGTGATCAGACAGTCTGCTCAGGTCAACCCCTCGAAAGCAGAAGCTGAAGCACCCCAGAAGTACCTAACCTATCAAGAAAAACAAAACCCTTCTCTGTGGTTTAAGGCAGCCGGCCTACCCTGCTCCC